TCTGTCGTACGGGTAATTGCCCTCAACTGACGTCAGTCTTTGGTCCGCGCCAGTTATTTTCGCTTTTGTGCACCAAGAAAATATGTAAAATGTTTCAACAGCACCATTCGTTTAGTGGACCACTGTTTGCATTGTGCACAACCTAAAACTCGCGCCAGATTAATTTGACGCACTGGAAAGCAAACTTCATCTTATCAGTAGACATTCAGATAATGGTTATCCGTACATGATGAGTGGTCTTCTTGGTTGTGCCCGGCTAAGATAACACCACAGCTTCCCAAAATATTAAAATGGAGAGTTTATCACACCGGTATTACTAACAAAATTACCAGTAGCCTAATTATTCAGATTATCGAAGCAAGGCACTGTGACCAAGCAGGTAAACTGGACGCTCAACCAACCAATTTCGTCAACAAGGTAAAGTTTTTGAATAGAGTGGGCAAAGAGTTGGCATTCAACGAGGGAGGTTCGCAAGTTGGAAGGCACCATCGGACTCAGCTTAGGTCTGGCTTGTTCCGGATCCTTCAGTTCACTCCACGACCATGCAGGCGTCCTTTATTTAGGATTATATGGTACTTGGCAACATGTTACCGGGAGGTCGTATAGTACAGATGAAGCTTCACTCGTACTGTGAATGGAAGACATAAATGGAAATACGGAATGGAAATAGATTCGAATGAAAGTCAATACCATAATTTCTAGTTCAACGAATGCATCTTCATTCTGTTTGTTTGGACAAAACGCCTAAAGCAGTGCTGTATACGGCAACCACAGATCTGCAATGGACCGAAAAACCCTGAGTCTCGCCCACCTTTGCCAATGAGTGATCCATATGAATGCATGTTCTTTGATTCCGTTGAGGATGGTCTCGTTGAAAACTAATTGGTATTTCAGTTTGGGTTTTGCGGGATCCGCATTTTGTTCATATTCACACCACTCCCATTTGAACGGTCATCCTCCTGTTCTGGTGAGTCCACACCAAAGGGAAGCACTGGACTCGACTTTTACTCTTATTAGAGCCCACAAGTAGTGCATATCCAACTGCCCTACCATGATTTTAACCCTGGAAATCTGACATGCGAGGCGAGCGTGTTACCACTACTCCACCAACGCACGTTGGAAGCATCTGAATTTTCATGTCTGAACAGGCGAACGTGTTCAAGCTTGAGCGATTGTTATGGTGTGCCCGACACATCGAACGGCGACCCAGTAACTGTCCTGGTTGTGACGATCGATTGACCCGCTAGTCAATACTTCCCAGCCAGGTAGCCTCACAGACACTCAAAACCCAGTAGGCAAATTTCTTGGTTTCCGTTGGGGTTTTGCGGGATACGTATTTTGTTCATATTTGTGTAATTGTTAACTGTGAGATTAATTAGATCGATAAAGGTTTGTTAGTAGCTTGTTCTTACGTGTTACAATGTAACAAGGGAATGTTTGGACAACTTTTATTGAGACACAAGTTCAACACTGGTATTAATTTTGGACTGGTATTAACTTTCGACAAAGTTAGACTCGAATCTCAACAAGGACATGAGGGTTGCCGAATTAATTAGTCATAGCTAGTCACAGTACATGGCAATTTTACCGTACTTGATAGGTCTTAGGTTGGAACAGGTCGCCAGCACGTTTCCGATTACATAGTTTATTTTGGCACCGAAATCAACATATGATCAAATTGTTAGCTTTCCGTGGTGGTGTTATTCACGAAATGTGGAATTCAGAACGGAAGCCAAAGTGAATGCATGGTTCTCAGATAAAGGAAGAGAATAAGCTCAAGCGGAGTATATGATGTGTGGATCTGTATGGTAATCGATCGAGTAAGCGGCTTACTGCATATGAGCAAGTGGGAATACATCAATGTTCAATAACTTTGCGTAATGCGGTGTTGCCTTTTTAGCATGTTTCACTTACTAGCATTGAAAAAGTTGATGTCCCAGATAACGAGAAGAGTTCTGGTAGTGTGAACGCAAACAATGTGGTTTCAGCTTCTTTTAACCCTAGTTCCCAAAACAAACTAAAAATATCCTCCATATGGATGTTGAGATGCCCCACCTGTGAACCTGAAGTCCATATCATTCACTGGCTCGCACGATCTGCCGTGTATATTTTATGGGGTCATAAAGTTGTGACGTAATAATTACCATGGAATAGATTGCACGATGAAAAATCTCGGTGTGCATCGTAGATGGTTGCAGAACTCCCCCTGATTGGAAGATTGTGTGATGTTGCACCATAGGTAACAGACAAACGGGGTGCTGTTTTTCTCAAAAATGAAAAGTAGTAATAATTGACGTTGCTCCTTGCTATTCAGATTTTTCGGGAAATTTAGGGAGTGTGACTGGAATTTAAAACTAAAAAGTGGCGAATGAAAGTTGCCCGTTTCGGACGCTCAAACAATTGTTATATGTATGGTACCCAGGTAAGTGAAGTGTGAGGGCTGATTCAGGTCAGCAGCTTCGGGGCGTCGTTTTCATCTACTTCGCAGCCCACCGGACTCACCTTCATATCTTTTCTACTGGCCACACTGTGTCCATTTGTTACTAAATAAATCAATGAAGAAAAAACGGTTAGGCAGGAACAGTTGACAAACACTGAAGCAGGGGGAATGCCATAGTTAATCGAAAGCGCTTTGTTGACAAATATAATAGCTGTGAACTCGGTCCCATCCGACGCTCATTCCGAAAGCAAAAAATAATATTAGGCGCCAACCCCTAGCTGGTCAAGCATAATACGGGTTACATAGCCGCACCATGTTGAGTTCTATGCGGTGGACTTATAAAGGTGAAAAAGCGGATGTTTTGCTAGTATCTACAGCCCAAAATCAAACCGAAACATGCATGCAGAAAAGTGAAATACTATTAAGTGAAGAGTGATGATTAACGCACATGATAAGAAGGTATAAAGATAAAAGAGAGACAAACAGAACCAAGTAACACAAACGTACACGCACATAATCACGCCTAACATTAATTACTAAAATACATCCAACCTTAATTAAATACTGGTTCGCAAAAGACACTCAAATCCGGTTACAAATTTGGAATGCAGAAGACAAGTTCGACAGCACAATCGGGAACAATACGGGTACCAAACCTGCTCGTTGTTCTTCTTTTCCTTTTTTCTGGATCTTCCAGGCCTTCATCTGTTGCCTAAGGACTCCTGTAAAGTCAGAAGTGTCGATGTATGATCGATTTCTTCCGCCCGGGGATGATGTCTCAGGTAGTACACCGATGCTGCCATTGCTCACCAGGTAGAACCGCTGGGGACCTCATATTTCTCGCCCGAGCTTGGAGCATTCCAGTTCGCCACTGGCAAAGGGGTTCCTTGCGGCTGGCAATCCCTTCCGTTAAGTCCGATTGTTGGATAGTATGAGAATCCAAGCGTGAACATCAATGTTTAGTTGAAATCAGCTATGTTTGTGAGTATGCCCATGTGGATTCGGGGCATTGCACGGGTGCCAGCTGATCGAACAACATTCCGATTCCAGATGGAATACGCAGAGAAATGTTAAGGTTTCAAATGATAACACAGCACCCGAGCATCATTCAACAGCCTCCTCAAAAACGCGCGCTCGTGTTCCAGGTGCTGGGATACCCAGCTACACGTTTCTCTAGTCTAGTAAGCAGCTGATCAACATCCATCCTCTACCAAACCACTAACCTAAGTAGATTTCGAATGCGAGCCCAAAACCGGCGTCTTTCTAAGAATACGACTTCGGAATCTTGTGGCTGGTTGTCTTTTCCCGACAACCCATGAAGACGGTTGTGTTCTCGTCACTGCCTAAAGACGTAAGTAGTCTCTGCACAAGACCGGTCCAACTTTTTAAACGATGGAAATATCAGTGGGCATCATAAGCGGCTTGCATCTCAACGGACGACAGTATGTGAGCCGCAACGAAACACATATAATATGACGGTTTCACATGAGTTATGTGCACTCATTCGTTGTCCTCGTACATCATACCAGAATCGGATCAAATAAGAAACCCCAAATTGAGGCATAAATCCATAATTCCAACCACGTTCGTGCCGAAATCGTCTCCTCTTATCTCACCTGTAAAACCCTCATTATTGCTGTACATTGATCAAACATGCTACGGTTACGTTCACTGATGTTTTGAGGAGATACAAGTATATGGCCATGAATTGGTGGCGGTGACACAAATTAGGCGTTATGACTGGCGATTTCTTCTATTAGTAGACTCCACTGAATATATCAGCAGTGGACGCTGTGCATTGAGATTGATCGCTTGCACGCACACCTCTCAGCTAGCTTGCGATCAGGACACGACTGGTTAATTCTCTGACAACTGTTGTGCCCCGACTCCGGATCCCTATCCAAGAAAACACCAATGATCAGTACAGCTCAGTTTGCTGGTAGTCGCATTTATAATTTGTTGCCAGGTCATTGTTTAACCTCACTTGGCTCAGTTTCTTGGACGAGCAGCATGCTACGGCCAGTTTATTAAGGATTTCAACACGATCGCTGCGCCACTGTACGACTTGCTCGGGCAAAATCGGAAATTCGAATGCACTGCGGAAGCACATGAGGCTTTTGAGCATGTCAAAGCACGGATGTTGGATCAACAACTGACCCTCAAACTGCCTAGGGTCGGAGAAATGTTCCCTGTTGCAACGGACGCTAAAGATTGCGGTACCAATGCACACCTTAAGCAGAAGAATGGAGTTATCAAATATGTCAATCTTGTCCCGACTAACGCTGAACAGAAGTGCTTGACCACTGAGAAAGAATGTTTGGCGGACGCTTGAGCCCTGGATAAGTTGAGGCCATTTCTGCTTGGACAGAGATTTCATGCGAAAACTGATCACAACCCCCTGGAGTGGATCAGGACCACCAAAGATCTTCGCGAAAAGCTAGCGCGCTGGGCACCCTGATTGCAAGAGTATGTATTTACGATCCAACACGTTCCAAGGAGCGAGAGTCACTTGACTTGTTGGCTGTCAAAACCAGAGGCTGAAGATGAGGCCTTCAGGATCATGATTGGGGCCCATTGCCTCGTCGAACCGAACCCAGGAAGGTTAGTGCAACTCCAACGGCACAATTCTGTGTTACGGAAGGTTGCAGCCGCCCTGTTGGATGAAAGCAGCGTTGAGAGCTGCGAGGGAGAAAAGGGATCGGAAACGTTCCAGGGTCATCTTGATCTGCTGAGCCTGAAAAAGCTGGCATAACTTCTTGGAAGGCTACCGATTCGGATGTTGTGCTGCCCGTGATACTTCGGGTCTTGAGACGGAAGCTTATCGTTGAATGCCACGAGGTGGCACACACAGGGTCCACCAAGACGTTCGACTTTCTTCGGCAGATGGCCTACTGTCCCGCGATGAGAAATAAAGTGATTAATTATGTGGTGCACTTTAAGCAATGCCAACTGATGAAAGTGGATAAGACAGGGGCAACCCATCCCATTGAACCCACTCCTGTCTCATGGGCTACTTTTCGGTGACGAACAGCGGGAATTAATATATCGCGGTGGATTGAGGCGATAGGCGTGCCCAATCAACGGGCGACGACGATCGGCCGAGTGGTAATGCATGACATTGCGGCCAACCATGGAGTGTCAACAGTGATCCCAACCGATCAGGGGCCTTACTTTGAGAGTAAAGGATTTAGGAATTGCTTGCAGAAGCTTGATATCAGACGGCTAAGGACCACACCGTACCACCCGCAAACAAATGGCCTTACCGAACGTAATAACCGAACGATCAAGGAGTGGCTGGTGGCCAAAGAAGGTGACTGGGAAGTGAGCTCGCCAATGGTGTTGCTAGCTCATCGCGCTCCCATACAGTCAACCACAGGCACGTCCCCGTTTATACAGATGTACGGTTGACATGCGCGTCTTCCGTTCGATCAGGAAATTGGATTGTGGCCGGCAACACGCTTGTCTCCGGAGGAGCCAGGGGAAGATAGAAGGAGAGATCGAGAAAACTTGGCCGCCGTTCAGGAAAGGACTAGGCGTAAAACAGTAAGTAGGGAGGCACGACCATTCCCCATGGGTGCGAAGGTCAAGTGAACTGATCATCAGAATCCTGGAAGCAGTAGACTGAGGTCGCGGTAGCTGGGTCGTTTTCGATTGCCAGGATAACATCCATAAAATTCAAGACGATCGGGGATCGTAGAAAGCACATGGAACTCCGCTTCGTGAGTGGCATGACGAGCGGCCCCATAGACCAGCTGCCGGAGCCGAACCTAACGGAGGTAAGTGAAAGCCGGTGGCATGCTAACGACATTTAAATGGAAATGGTGCGTAGCAATATTATGCTATTTTCCCATAAATCCGCTTCACGTCTCTTGGAAAGTGGGATTTATTACGAAAATATAGAATTTCTTTGTAGCCGTCGTTTACATTTGGTTGATACGCGATGTGTATCCAAAGAAAGTTGAGGAAGACGCATTCGAGAAGAAAACGGATATTTAAATATTGTAAACATGATGCATTTGAGAGTTTTGCTTCATTGTCCGATACTCTGTAACTGTTCAGTTTGTGTTTCCAATAAAAAACCGCGGCGAATGCCTTCTTCCTTTCACCGGTACATGTATCATAGAGTGGCTCCAGATTGGAGGGGTTACTGAATTGGGGTAACTGGAAATGAAAGAAAGGATTTAATGGACGTTCGATTAGGATCTAAATACCAGAGGCTTGTCAGCTGGGCAAAGTCCAACTGAGTGAAATAGTAGGGAGTGTTGATCCCGGGTGGGATGGGGCGTCTGCAACGACACTTTCTGATCCTGGAGTTTACCCAACATCAGTAGTGAATTGAGAATTGTAGTCCAGATGACGTATCTCGCGTGATGAATAGCAATTAGGCTTAGCGTTTTTAGCATATGTAAGTCGCGTGTGATCTTCTTGAATGGCAGATGTTCTATCTTCTAATTAGTGCCGGAAATGGCTAATAGCGAGGTAAATTGCGAGTAATTCACTACCAAAAGTACCATAACGCGTTTGCGCAGTCTGCATCTTCGGCGAGAAAAAGGCTAATGGCTGAGACGCGTTAACAAGTTGAAAGAGTACAGCGCCGACAGCAGCGTTCGAAGCATCAGTTATCAAAACAAGCCTGATGTTCTCGTGAGTATCGATAAAAGGTTATATTTGCGGCGTGAGCGATGACTTGCTTGGCTGTTTCGAAAGCACTAATGGCAACGGTGGGAAGGGCAACGGATTTTGGTCGTTGGCTTGTTCGCTGAGGTGGGTATCAAGGAGGAGGGTCATGGCTCAGCGAACAAGCCAACGGCCACCATCCACGATACCTGAGCTACCAACATTTTCCTCTATAGGCAACAGATTTTTTTGGTGCCAGGTAAATCAGTCAATGGTTGTAAAACAGCTGCATAATGAGGGACAAACCGCCAAAAGTGGCTGATGGTAGCAATATGATAATGATGATGAAGTTGGGTGAAATTGGATGGTGTGGAACAAGATCCCAGGGCCAAAATGCGATCGGATGGTAGTGAAATACTAATTGGGTTATTGTGGTAACCGAAAAAACCTAGGCTAATAACAGCAAACAAGCATTTGTCAATGGCCAAACGTATGTTGTAGGTAGAAAGACGTCGAAATAATTTCCTGAGGTGTTCTTCATGCTTAGCTGGGGAGGTGCCAGCAATTAAAACGTTGTCTGGATAATCATACACAAAAGGCAAGCCAGGCAAAACTTCATCCATGTAGCGCTGAAAGGGTTGAGCTGCATTTCGAAGACCAAAAAGCAAACGCCTGAATTCGTAAAGACCAAAAGGTGTTGTAACAGCTGTTTTAGAGATGCCATCCGGTTTTACCTGGATATGGTGGTGTGCACGTACTAGGTGGCGTTTTGAAAAATATTTGCAGCAAAAGGTGCTGGCGAAATTGTGGATATGTTGTGTAGGATACCTCTCTGAGATAGTAGCGTTATTGAGGGAATGGAAATCTCCACAAGGTTTCCAATAACATTTCTCGGGTACCATGTGCAGGGGCTGACGACCAGCGACTTGACGAAGTGCGGATGATGCCGAGTTCAAGTGTGTGTTCAAACTCATGTTTCGCGATCTGGAGCTTATCTGAATGGGGGTGACGTGCATTGGTATGGACAGGTGGACCTCTCGAATGTGATTGATTGACGACGGAATGCGTGACCAGTTGAGTACAAAAGGCAAGCCAGGCAAAACTTCATCCATGTAGCGCTGAAAGGGTTGAGCTGCATTTCGAAGACCAAAAAGCAAACGCCTGAATTCGTAAAGACCAAAAGGTGTTGTAACAGCTGTTTTAGAGATGCCATCCGGTTTTACCTGGATATGGTGGTGTGCACGTACTAGGTGGCGTTTTGAAAAATATTTGCAGCAAAAGGTGCTGGCGAAATTGTGGATATGTTGTGTAGGATACCTCTCTGAGATAGTAGCGTTATTGAGGGAATGGAAATCTCCACAAGGTTTCCAATAACATTTCTCGGGTACCATGTGCAGGGGCTGACGACCAGCGACTTGACGAAGTGCGGATGATGCCGAGTTCAAGTGTGTGTTCAAACTCATGTTTCGCGATCTGGAGCTTATCTGAATGGGGGTGACGTGCATTGGTATGGACAGGTGGACCTCTCATCTGAATGTGATTGACGACGGAATGCGTGACCAGTTGAGTGTACTGACTTGGATGAGTGAGGGTATTAAAATTCCTTAAGGATTCAGCAAAATCGGGATCGTGGGTACCTGTGGATTAATTTGGGGCACTACTTCCGTTGACCGAGACAGAAGTTGGCACGTCCAAGATACGCTTATATCGCACATCAACGGATAGTTGCAGTGGCTTAGGAAGTCTGGGTGTTTGGGCGTCTGCCAAAAGGGAAATCCACTTGAACGCACGTTGCAATCCGAAGTCAAGTGTGAGGAAACTTTCTCCGTATGTGGCGAAACGGGTACCGTTAGCTGCTTGTAACGAATAAGAAGCGGAGTCGGGAAGTGAATTCTTCTTAGCATGCTGACTTCAGCTCCCGTGGCAGTAGCACCATTTAGTCTGCATGGTTTTAGGTCAAACCATATTTTTGGGACACAAAGTACCATTTGCTTTCAATTCAAATTATTCCATTCCAATTCTTGCTCTTTGTGACTCTGGGCATTTGCTCAACCTCCCAGGGTCACTCGCCAATGGCCAGAAATGATTCCCTTTTTTGGTTCATGCCGACCGGCTTCATCTTCCGACTAGACGTGCCGCATGCCCATTGTCCTAGGTTTTTCGGTTCCCAGAACTGCGATGACTTTTCATGTAATAAGCATATCTCATTGGCTGTACCATCCCCGCTGTTGTGCTGTTAACCACCGTGTTTAAGTCGTCATGACCCGATCATGTGTCAATCGGCATGATCCCTACAAGTTGGGAAATAAACGTATCGTTGGTACTATTAGCCCAGAAATCAATGGCAGTGTAAAGTGTGCTACTTTCTCAATGATTGAAAAGTTTACAAACGTTAAGGCACTGACCAGAAACCGGGCTACGACTGTGAAATAATTACACTGTACTAATACACCGTTTTTGGTGACATACTCGTAATTATCTTTTTCAAACCCTCCACAGGTCTTCGCCCTAAAGTCTATCGACTCAAATTAAAAAATCGCTATTCTTGATTCAGTCGACAGTCGACAAGTGAAGGTCGCGGTACGTTCGAAATCGGTTTCTTTTTTCCTAAACATGACATCAATTTATACCGATTGCTCACTGCAGCCATTGATAGGCCACAACGGATGTGGGCGAAATGGCTGCCCGTCGAACGTCAAACGCGGTATGCAATGCCACACCTTCAAGGCCTGGTGGCACTTCAAATGCACCGGTTTACAGGACGACCAGAAAAACCGGCTAGCTAACTCTCCTGACCCGTTTGTCTGCGCCACCTGCCTCTAGGTTAGGGGTGCAATGCATACCGCGGCCAAGAAAAGGGCCCCAAAGACGGTACCAAATCCCCACGGCGGATTCAGAAAGACCAATGTCAGTGTTCCGCCTTGATCAGATACTCGACGCGAACTTGGAGCGTCTTTTAAAGGCACTGAAGAACTCAGACACTAAAAATGCAGCGAATTGGATGAAAGCTGACAAGGAACTTTCTTCGATGAACGAGTACCCCGCGATATCCATACCGGGCCCTCTGGCCGCGAAGAAAGTTATACAGCTCTCTGACGCGGCTATAAATACCGCCACAGCGTTTTTAGTGGACAGGCGCCTAAGGGAAAGTAGATTGATAACATGGGAGTTATTCTCCGGAAAAATCACGCCAGCGAAGCCGGCACAATCAATCCTTGGGGATGTCCTCACCAAGCCTGACCAATCCCTCCACGCATAATGGTTACGTCAGAAGTGAAGCAAGCGAACTCTTGGACTTTCCGTCACACTTTCTTCCCCATCTGACGTACAGGAGAACTTGGAGCGGGCTGGCAGCACTCAGAAGGCCAATCCAATGGTAAGGCGTCTATCTGAGGATCGCCCTCTAGATGCACGAAAGCTCGGTCACAACAGGTCAGGGATGGAGGCAAGAAACAGGCTTCCGCTGGGCAATAATTCAGCCGACCCAAACTCATGGATGGAGGCAAGAAACAGGCTTCCGCTGGGCAATAATTCAGCCGACCCCAAACTCATGACCAGGCCGATTGTTGTCAAATCCCGTTGTGCTCCCGAAAACAGGCCGACGAAACAAGCTGCGTCTCCGGACAGCAGTTTCTATTAGACCACCACAGGCCCCTCACCCACCAAAGGCAGTGATGCCCTGGAGGAGGCAAAACTCAAATGCAAGTAGCACCCAAAGTACGCGGAGCTATCAACGCTTATCTCCGTAACAGACAACACAGCCGCAGCCGTGCACTCCTCAACAAAGTCACAGCCTCTGAACTGTACTCAGTCAGATGTAAGAGGACAAGCAACGAAGCCAGTCTTCAGCTCCACTCCGTCAAAAACGGCCTCTCTGTTTGTGGACACAACCGTCGCCCAGGACCCCGACAACCAAAGCCATAAACATGACTGTAGCCATCCGGAAAATCCCTCGTACATCCAGTTGGCTACGCTGATCGCCGGCGGATCGGGTGTCCACACAAACATGGAAGAAGAGCGACTGCAGCCAAACAAGCCACATAAAGTTCGCCAGATTAGAAAACTGCTGGCTGGCTTCCAGGTGCAGTCCTCCGCGAAAACGAGCCTCTTACAGTGCCACCAAAATCATTACTTCTTTGTGCCACCACCCAGAACTCAGGGCCTCAAAGAGACACTTTTCCGGTCAAACCGCGCCAAAACACCCAAGGATCCAGAAAGGCGAAAGCTTGCAGCAAACCTTTGATCAACAGCAAATCTGGTCGACGAAAAGGGGATGCTGAAAGAGCTACAAACAACAACGGCCGAAATTTTTGCCCACAGAGAAAAAGACTTCGTCCCCCAAAGCCAGAAGGCCCGAGCAAACCGGGCTCCCAAGCAACGAAAAAAACCTCGCAAGCGAAAAGCACCTTCAAAAACCACGAAGAAAGGAAGCATACGACATGGCCCCAGGGGCCCCTTCGGAGCCTTGGACTCAAACCCGGCGTGCAACTATTAAGTCTGCCAATCACCCTGGTCACTCAGTTTTTGGCTGCTCACCCTCGGAGGCAGCAGAGACAGTGTTGAAATCCTTGTCCACAAACTGCCTCAGCATTTTCAACAAACTCAGCGATGTTGAACATTCAGCTTGCCTTAACAACCGTCCATAATCGCACTCACAGAGACCTGGCTCACACCAGATGTCCCTGACGCAGAGATCTCGAGAGACGGTTACTCTATTTTTCGAGCCGAATCAAAACGAGGGCGGACAGACGGGGTTGCCCTGTACCAATCCCGATTGTCCTCTCTGACACAACCCCCGCGGCCTTTTGCGATGTACTGTGGGTCCAAATCCCGCTGCGCGGGTCCGATTCTCTCCTTCTCGGTGTGGTCTACCGTAGCCCTTCGAGTCCCCCTGAGGATGACCAATTCCTCACACAAACCCTTGGGCAACTCTCCTCCAACTACCATTTCACTCATCTCCTGCTGGTAGGTGACTTCAACGCCCCAAAGGCCTCCTGGATTGCACTCCAGCGCGTCGAATCAGGCGGACCTTTTGCAGCGGCGCTGTTAGAAGTCGTTCAACAGAGCGCTTGGACCCAACATGTCGCTGCACCCACCAGATACCGCGCAGGCCAACAACCATCCCTCTTGGATTTGGTCATCACCAACGAAAGACACTTCGTTGATCAGGTAACAATTAACGCTCCACTGGGACATAGCGACCACTGTGTGCTGACCTTTGATTTCATCTGCTATTGGGCCAGAAATCCCAAACCTCAAACGCGGTTTCGAGACTTCTGCCGTGCAGACTTCTCAGGAATGCGCATCTTCCTTGAACAAGTCACACTGGGACCAGCTCCGGTGGAGGAACCATATGGGACCATTGTCCAAAAAGTTCACGAGGCTGACGCGACGTTCGTCCCAAAAAAAACCGGCACACACTCGGATGAACCACAGGCTGCCAAAAAGGATTCGGCGACTTCTGGAAGAAAGATACCAAATCATTCTCAAAAAAGTTGACTATAGTGGACACAAAAGATGAGCTAGCATTTTGTAAAATGCGGAACCGCTGTAAATCAGAAATCCGCAAGTGGAACATAGGAAAACTAGTCACCATTCTGGACGTCGCTCGAAAAAACAACAACGTCTTGTTAAAACACATTATACATCGCCGCAGAAACAAGCCATCCGCGTTCTCCTTGAGGGACAGAAACGGAGAACCGACGAATGACCCAACAGTGTATCTGAGGTTTACAGAGAACACTATGCGTGTCTATGCTCAGCCCCAGCGTCCTCGTCACAT